GACGTCACCAATAGACACCCTTGGGAAAGAGGAATATACACACAGTGATTTTCTTTGTTCTAGTTCGTTAATTCTCGAGACAACTCGGTTTGATTGTATCCTGTATTGATGCAAATAAATCTTGCACGTGGAGTGAAACGGTCCAAGGTTCTCTTGCTTTCTGTGAGTGCTGTGTGCACCATTCTGGTAACCTTGCAGTGGGAGTTTGTGGTCTCTCATTATAGTGAGATAGCATAGCTAAAAGTTTAAGTCAGACAGATATCGATTGAGGTGCATTGAGACGGAAAAATTAAACCACAACAAAATCCTGTTAATTTGGGTTGGGTTAACTGGGTTGTATTTAGTCTTTTCTTCCGTTTAACAAATACAAACACTGGACCACAGTGTGATAGGGGACAGTAAAACCTTAGTTACAAAGGTCAGAACAGATGTCAGTAGTGTAGATACAGGGCAAAGGTCAGTGCTGTAGATATGACTCATACAATAATAATAATAATAACTATAGTATTAATATTAACTTGACAGTAATTGTGTGATTGCTTGCAACAGTTTTTGTTTTCTTCTGGCATTTATTTTAAATTTAAGGAAGGAATTTAGGGAAGATTAGTGTAGGAAAAACACAACAACAGTCTGTAAAATGATTTGACAGTATTTATTGTTTATTTCCATATAAAAAAAGATAAAATTGAAGTAGATCTTTTTCTTCAATGATTTTTATTTTATTTTTCAGTAACAGGTTGTATGTGTGAGTGTGTGTGTCTGTGAGAGAGAGAGAGAGAGAGAGAGAGAGGACTAGAACTACATTCATCCATACAATAATGATCCTGGCACTGGGTGGAGAGAGATAGAGAGAGTTATGAAAATTCATAAGAAAAGAGAGAGAGCTGACACACACACACACACACACACACATACACGCATTTCTTTCCTAGGCAGATCTAGCAGTTGCTCCACATCTGGAGTTTTTCTCTACAAACCACCACAGTTAAAGAGAAAAGAAAATATAATTTCTAATGAGGATTTTCATCAGGCTGAAAATTAAACATCTATGTTACAGTGATCATTGCTTCTCAAAATTAAAATAAGAAAATAAACTTTCGCACTGGAACCTTTGAACAGCAGGATGGACAGTACCTCGGGAAGGGGGCTTTTATTCTTTTAAATGTTATCTTTTCCTGCCTGCACATATTTCTTCCATTTGCTGTATACATACATATTTATTTATATATTTTAAAAGACTAAATAAAAAAACAGCTTTTCCAACACTTCTTCAGTCCAAAACACATGGTTGTTTTTTTTTTTGTTTTTTTTACAGTAATGAGACCAGTTCTCAGCTTGTAGACAGATTCTTTTCTTTTTTATAGCATATTTGTTAAATCAGTAGTACAAGTTTGTCTCTGTGTTCTACAGTTGAGCTACAACAGTGAAACATAAGGTACAAGATTTACATTTCACACCATCATCATCGCCATCATCATCATCATCATCGTCATCATCATTCTGGTGGAGAAGGATGGGGTTTTGTAAAGATGGCTGCCTCTTAGTTCGACATCAGTCACTAGGAGTTAAACAGTGTTTAGAGATTTAACTGTTACTTCAGTTCTGCTCTTTATTTATGTGAGAAAGACATTTGATTAAAGTTCCTGAAGTCCTGAAAGATGATTTTGTCTTTTATTTTTAAAATCTGTTTTAATGATCATTAGATAAAGAAATGTTTCCTTCAGGACTTCTGTGGCTTCTGTGTGGGAATTCATGCAAATATGCTAAGGGACATAAAATGTTTCTCATGACCAGTAAATATGATAAAAAATACTGAGCAGAAATTAGTTGGATTGTACAGAAGAAATGTCGACTTTATCTCATAATTTTAGTTTTTGTATCTTCAACAGGAGATCTATGATCATAACTGCAAGGAAAGATCTTCTCTTTTTACAAGATACCATCACTTTCTTCAGTTTTACTTTCTGAACTGATATTTGATATTTATGAACACTGCTGAGCAATCTGGGACAGGACACCATATCCAAACAGGAGGCGGCCATCTTTACACACCTGGTTCGTTCAGGATGAGTAGGGAGGGCGTGTCCTGCAGTGACTCTAGCCCCTCTCCCACTCATCCCGGGGGGAAAAACAGCAGAAATTTGTTCACAATTACCCCTTGACAACATGCCTTGGAAACCCTTTACAGCTCCTCTGACCAATCAAAGCCCTGAATCAGATTTCAAATGTGTCCGTTTGGATTGAAACTAAACGTTGCATTATGTTCACCACATGCATTATGTTCACCACTTTATTTAATTCCTGACTTTACCAACTACTGAAACAAACTGAGAGTCTCCCACCTCTTCAAAAGTGGAACGAGAGGGTCTTTATGGAGAATAAACCCTTAGTATTAGCTTCGTAACACTGATATCAGGTATGTGAGCTTTTAATAAATTCATCAAATAAAAGATAACTAGTTCCTCTTCACGATCTATTTTTAGAAGGTTCATGATTACCAATAAAGGCCTTTTCACCAGTTTTATTATTCTGTCTCCAATGAGGATGATTATGTGGTGCTTTCAGTCCAAGGAGAGTTTCACCTGCTGATAAAGGAGCCGTCTTTAATCTCTAGATGAAAAATACAGACTTGGTATGCAAAGGCTTTAAGTGTTGTTCTCTTCTGGTTGGAGTCAAACTATTAGAATATAAAGAGGCAGGAAGTTCTACAGCAGTAGCTATGAGGAAGAAGGTTTCACAAAGTCAAAGGGTCCATTGTGAGTATTATTACATGTGGTAGACACCACTTCACACAGGTTTCTGTTAATATATGTTAAACTGCCTGTCCTTCTGTCATTGACTAAGGCTCAAAGATGTTTAGATGTTCAGAGGAAAACAACAAGTGGACATTTCTTGATTTCTCCTGACAGGCACTTGACTGGCCGCAATAATGGAAGCATCACTCTAAGTCACAATAAGTGAAAACAAGCGGTGACTTTTAATTTGAAGCATTGAGGCTAGACAACTCCACTGTCACATCCTGGTCACAATCCAACAATAGCTTCATAGGACAGATAAATCTGATCAATACCATTAGTCTGTCTTATCATCTCTGTACATTATTAGCCAAAATGCTACAATCACTGTCACTGTATCCACCATCGTATTATTATCCTGAAACCCCAAATGTCTGAACCATTTGTCCAACAGCCCGTTATTTTGTGACCAAACTCTATCGGCTATAACGTTGAAGTTGAGCGGGGGACTCAGACGACGACAGCTTTTCCTTTATAAAGTGGAAGCCCAGAAGTGCCGCCATGTTGACTTTGATCTGGCGTATAACATCGTAAACTCTGGACGTCCTTTCACACTCCGCATGAACCCTTTCAGCTCGATAGTTTAGTCACCATGAAGTTACTAAGGTTGCAGTTATTCTTTAGTGTTTGCTATTCAAGTGTGATATGTTAGCCAGCTCAGTGCTAACAGTACAAGCTAACACTGAGTTAAAACACAATATACTGTTTGTTTTATTGACAGGAATTGAAAATTTTTAAAGTTATTTTCTGCTTCAGTTTGAACGTCACATTATGAAGAGGAAATATCTGCTGTTTTGGCACTTGGGTTAGTTAAAACAATAACTTTAGCATTGTTAGCATTTCACACATTGGTCCCCCTTTTTCATTTTGGCCAGATCCTCCACTGGTTTCACTGTAGGATGCTAACAATGCTAACAGCTTTTCTGATCTCTAAATGCTGAATGTAGAAACATTCTCCGCCTACTGCGTGACAGGCTTCCAGTTTAAAAACTTGATTTCAACAACAGCTCAGATGTTTGTTTAGATTTTTGGTTACTAATCCGTGCATGTGAATATGAGCCTGTGTTTTTCTTCCTGAAACCTGAACAAAAATGTTGAGACTCCGATCTTTCCACCGACACGACTACTGTCGCATTCCTAGCGCTCAGTTTCTGCCCGTGTGGCTTTAATGAGGTAATATGTTCCTGAAAACACCTGGAAACGCCTGGATCTCTGAGTCTGTCAGGTGATTTTGTCTGCATCCCGACAGAAAACGGCAGGTCAACGTCATCTCAGAAGGTCATGTGTCACATCAAGATCACACCCGGATATGAGTTCATCAAACACATCTAGAATATTGTTTCAATGATTTAAGATCGTTCAAGAATCAAACGAGGACCAAGACAAGATTTACATCGTCAAAGGTGTCACCATCCTTCAGTTTGAATCCGATATTCTGGATGTATTTCAATACAAATATACTCTGGTGTGATGTTTAGGAAAACTTTTACATTCACAGGAAGGACAGAAGGGAAGTGAAGAAGGAAGCTCCAGAAGATGAAGTCAAATAAAGGCACAAAGCTGAAGACAGCAGTAAAACAAAGGGAAGTGGAGGAAGAAGAAGAAGAGGAAAAAGAGTGAGCGAGATGAAGAGAGTAGAAATGAAACAAGACGAGGAGGAAAGAAAGGAGGGATTATTTGATGGAACTGGAAGACGAGAGAGAAGCGGAATTGAGAGGAAGAAAGTAGGCAAAAGGAGAGAAAAGGAGGCAAAAAAGAGACGAGACATAAGGATGAGGAGACGAGCAGGCAAGAAGAGGAAAGGAGGAGAGGACATGGCATCAGGAAACGAGTAAAGAGGAGAAGCTTAGAAGAGACGACACAGAGAGAGACGAGGATAGAAGACGACAAGTGAAGGAGACAAAAGGTGAGGAGGGGAAAGGAGACGAGGACAGGAGGATGGAGTCCAGCTCAGTCCAGGTGCTTTTATGATATCGGCAGTTCAGTTCAGTCTAAAAAACACACAAAAACAACTTTATTAACTATTTACAACGTGGAGGTTCGAGTCAGCTGTGACCTGGTAGCTTTTCTTCTTCAATCAGTTTGGAGA